CCGCAGCAGAAAGATGGTGGCGCTGAGGGCTTGGTCCTGATAGGAACTCACTGCCTCCCTGGCTGTAGTCCTGATGGACATCCAGTCACTGACAGAAGAGGATATTTAGACATAGAAGGATACAGCAAAGAGGGTCTGCCAACTTTTCACCAAACCTTGGGGTGAGATTTTGAAATAGTTTTGTCAGGAAACCCTGTCAGGTTAGATGAGGACAGTTGCAGCTATAGGTTAGAGGTTTTCAGGGGATTAAACTGAAACAAAGCGGGAAACTATGGGATTTTTATAGCAGAGTAAATGTTACTGAGTAACAGTAAGTGTTCTGTAGTTATGTGGAACATTTTTCTCACAATTTACATTATTTTCTATATTCTGGTGATTTTTAGAGAATTGAAGTAAAGCAGAATGGGCCTGACTAAAATACTTGCATCTTAAATATACTTTAAACTAAGAATATCACAACTTTGTTCATTAATTATTCTCTGCAGATCAAGTAAATTAAACAACGGGGAATTAATAAGCTATTACTGGGCTAAGGATTAAAAATCTTCATTCATTATGTTGTTAGTTTTTCTTACAATTGACAAAACGGTTAAACAGTTCAGACCTTCTAGGAGGCTGTAGATTTTATAAAAACTCACCATGAAAGGAGACAGCACGTCTCTGGATGTTTTATTTGGAAGGTGTGATGGAAATTAAGCTTTTAGACATATTCAATGGACCAAAATAAAGATAAATATATAAGATAAGTAATAATAAAAGAACAACATCCCTCTGGTTCCTCCTCTATGAATCCAGGATAACTGAGCTGTTCTGCACATCATCTCTAAATGTGGTTGGTCTTTTCTTGGGTGGCAGATCTACGGAAGATGATTAGGGCCACTGAAAAAAAAAATGTTAACAGATTTTTATTTTTATTTTATTTGAGTATAGTATGGGAAAAAAGTCAGAATTCTGACTTTTTTTATTGTCAGAATTCTGAGAAAAAAAGTCAGAATTCTGAAATTAAAGTCAGAATTCTGAGAAAAAAGTCAGAAATTTAATCTAAAAATTCTGAGAAAAAAGTCAGAATTCTGACTTTTTTTATTGTCAGAATTCTGAGAAAAAAGTCAGAATTCTGACTTTAATATCAGAATTCTGACTTTTTTCCCATGTTAAACTGAAATAAAATTTAAAAATCAGTTATTTTTTTTTTCCCAGTGGCCCTAATCCTCTTCCGTAAAAAAGATTACAGTTATCTCAAAAAAGGAAATCAGCTTCCCCAAACACTAAACAACTTATTTTCTTAATAAATAAATAAACTCACCTTTTTTCCTTCTGAAAGTTTCACAAATGAGCCGTTTCACCAGTTTTAGACCAGGCTAAAACGTTGTAGGGGTTCTTGTAGCCTTGGCAATGGAGGCGACTAAACCGCCTATAACCAGCAGAGGGCGACATTGCTCTGGTAAAAAAAAATGCATCGCCTTTATTAAAGGTGCTGTAGGAGATCTTGAAAAAAAAGGTTAATTAAAATTTTTTTTNTTCTTGCTGAAGGTGGGATAGGTGCATGTATGCTGCTCGCCCAGGCACACCTGGACAATAAGAAAAACATGCTGCAAATCTACATGGCCCCGGATCTATCAGAACTAGGAATAAACCCGGTTATCTCAGAGTGACTAACCTTAAAGTTTCTTCCCTCTACCTCCTCTTGGAGGAGAAACGCAGCCGGGCCATAGGACCGCAGCAGAAAGATGGTGGCGCTGAGGGCTTGGTCCTGATAGGAACTCACTGCCTCCCTGGCTGTAGTCCTGATGGACATCCAGTCACTGACAGAAGAGGATATTTAGACATAGAAGGATACAGCAAAGATGGTCTGCCAACTTTTCACCAAACCTTGGGGTGAGATTTTGAAATAGTTTTGTCAGGAAACCCTGTCAGGTTAGATGGGGACAGTTGCAGCTATAGGTTAGAGGTTTTCAGGGGATTAAACTGAACCAAAGCGTGAAACTTTGGGATTTTTATAGCAGAGTAAATTTTACTGAGTAACAATAAGTGTTCTGTATTTATGTGGAACATTTTTCTCACAATTTACATTATTTTCTATATTCTGGTGATTTTTAGAGAATTGAAGTAAAGCAGAATGGGCCCTACTAAAATACTTGCATATTAAATATACTTTAAACTAAGAATATCACAACTTTGTTCATTAATTATTCTCTGCAGATGAAGTAAATTAAACAATGGGGAATTAATAAGCTATTACTGGGCTAAGGATTAAAAATCTTCATTCATTATGTTGTTAGTTTTTCTTACAATTGACAAAACGGCTAAACAGTTCAGACCTTCTAGGAGGCTGTAGATTTTCTAAAAACTCACCATGAAAGGAGACAGCACTTCTCTGGATGTTTCATTTGGAAGGTGTGATAGAACTTAAGTATTTAAACATATTCAATGGACCAAAATAAAGATAAATATATAAGATAAGTAATAATAAAAGAAGAACATCCCTCTGGTTCCTCCTCTATGAATCCAGGATAACTGAGCTGTTCTGCACATCCTCTCTAAATGTGGTTGGTCTTTTCTTGGGCGGCAGATCTACGGAAGAGGATTAGGGCCACTGAAAAAAAAAATGTTAACTGATTTTTTTTTTTAATTTTATTTCAGTATAGTATGGGAAAGAAGTCAGAATTCTGACTTTTTTATTGTCAGAATTCTGAGAAAAAAGTCAGAATTCTGAGAAAAAAGTCAGAATTCTGAG